GGGTCACCTGAGGTCACCTGGGGTCACCTGAGGTCACCTGGGGTCACCTGAGGTCACCTGAGGTCAGCTGAGGTCACCTGGGGTCACCTGAGGTCACCTGGGGTCATCTGAGGTCACCTGAGGACACCTGGGGTCACCTGAGGTCACCTAGAGTCACCTGAGGTCACCTGAGGTCACCTGGGGTCACCTGAGGTGACCTGAGGACACCTGAGGTCACCTGAGGTCACCGCAGGACAGACCTGAACTTTGACCTGCAGCTGATGATCACTTCCTGTTTTCACTCACAGTCAGCTTTGAGTGGCGCAGGTGGAGCAGGGGGAGGAGCCGGTCTGCTGCAGGTGTAGGAGACCTCCAGGTAGCGGGTCTGCTCCACACAGATGTACTCTCCAAAGACCCGCTCAGTGACGGGGACCTCACAGGACCTCCTGTTGGAACAGCTGCACAAACACACAGAGACTTCATTACCCACAATGCCCTGCTGCTGCTGCAGGTAACACCTGAGCTGTATGTAACACACCTGAGCTGTGGGTAACACCTGAGCTGTAGGTAACACCTGAGCTGTGGGTAACACCTGAGCTGTGGGTAACACCTGAGCTGTAGGTAACACCTGAGCTGTGGGTAACACCTGAGCTGTGGGTAACACCTGGGCTGTAGGTAACACACCTGAGCTGCAGGTAACACACCTGAGCTGTATGTAACACACCTGAGCTGTTGGTAACACACCTGAGCTGTTGGTAACACACCTGAGCTGCAGGTAAAACACCTGAGCTGAGTTTGAAGTGTTTAATCAAAGAGAACAGATTTATTTGAACATTAAAGCTTAAACTCAGGATATCTGTTGCATTCTGGGAGTTGTAGTTCTCTTTAGTTTGGATGAATTATTATAAAATCTAAATGTTTGTGTTCCTCTGCAGAGAGCTGGGTCCTCACAGGTCCTCCAGAACCATCTCAGCCCAGGGGAAGGAGCAGAACTGATCCGGTCCATCATCAGGATGTTGTTTGCCCTCCCCGCACCTGGTCCCGACCCCGACCTTGTACAGGATGTGGTTCAGGGAGATCTTCTGGCCCACATCTGGAGGACAAGAACTACAATTAGACCCTGTCCTGGACCTCAGACCCTCTGCTGGACCTCAGACCCTCTGCTGGACCTCAGACACTGTCCTGAACCTCAGACCCTGTCCTGAACCTCAGACCCTGTCCTGAACCTCAGACCCTGTGCTGGACCACAGACCTTCTGCTGGACCACAGACCCTCTGCTGGACCACAGACCTTCTGCTGGACCACAGACCCTCTGCTGGACCA